GCTTTGCTCTCGCTGGTCACACGGGGCCTTTGTTTCCTGCCACGCGTGTCGGCAGTCATTCCCCAGGTGGCTGCTGGCTTCATACTCTGGCGTCTTGTTGAAGAAATCCTTCCTGTGGTCAAGCGCATTCACCTTTCCCTCCTCTGCTGCCTTCCCGTTAGTCCATCCAGGAGTCCGGTGCTTGCTTCTGACCCCCCGGTCTACAGTTCCCGTGAAAGTGCTGTAGATGCTGGTGGCCAGCACTCTGCCCCCCCGGGGTGGGTGCCCACTCGTCTGTCCCTCGGGGCGAGCACCCAGGGGTGCAGACCTGTCCTGTGGCCCCACAGTCCGTGTTACTACAGCTGTAGGATAATTCTTCATTTCCAGGAAGGGACACAGCCCAACTTTGTCCTTCAGGAGAATCTTGGCCGTTTGCCCTTATGTATAAATACTAGGTGTTTATGGCTGGGGTCAGAACAGGAATGATACTGTGATGCGCTGGATTTCTGGACTTCTTGTGATGCAAGTTTCAAGTTACGAACTTGCCACTTGCCAGCATTAGGTCTCTGCTGCTCTCTGTGTTGGCTAAAACCCAACTCTGACGCTGAGTACCCCTGTCCATGCGGCCCTGCAGCTGGAGGGCTCGCTCCCCAGCAAGACCGCCCTGGCCCGCGGGCTCCCGCAGGGGGCGTCCTGGCACTGCTCGGCCGCACCGGTCCCTGTGGCCAGTGTGGGCTATGGTGGTGGCCCGCCTGGCTGCAACAGCAGACGGTCCTGTTGACCTCTCTCGCTCAGTCACTCACGGGACGGCTCCTAGAATGCTGAGATGTGCTGCCGTTGGGATTTTATAGTTTGATTATAAAGGGTACAAAGCAGGGCCCCAGGGCAAGGTCTGGGGAGCCCGGAGCGCTGAGCCGCGTGCTCTCTGGAACGCCGTGTGTCACCCTCCTGGCCCATCTGAGCCAGCGCTGACATGCAGTGGGGTGTCACTGCGTCGTCCCTGGGATCGCTGGCCATGTGCGTGGTGTGACCATCCCCCTTGTGTCAACCCCCGTGTGGCAGCAGCTCCTGGGAATGACAGTCCGCACCCCACCCCGTGGGGAGTTTCAAGGGCTCCAAGGCTCCCTGCCCGAACTAGGGAGATGGCAAGCAGGCCACCAGACAGCAGATGCCTTCCCACCGGGTGCTGACTCTCTCCCCAGGGGCCAGCTCTTGGAACGTCCAGTACCTGGTACTTGGTCCTTTGACGCTGCTATAAATGGTGTCTCTTTAAATCACTCCAGGGTCAGGAACGTAGAGCAGTGCAGTCAGCTTTGCTCCCGGGAATCTGCTCATCCCTGCCTGAGCTCCATATCCTTTGTGAACCTTCTATGGTCCCGCTGCTGGGACTTTTGTTCCCTGGGTCTCCCGTGTTGAGGTGAGGCGAGCGGGACCACAGCCCTCGTCCCCAACCTCACTGACGGTTTCCCGAGTGCAGCCGCTATGGTCGAGGCCGAGCTGCTCTGGGGGTTCAGTGTGAACAGACCGAAGCTTCTGCCCTCGTGGAGCTTCTGTCCAGGTGGAGGAAGCACTGGAGAAAGGCAAGGAGCAGGAAGTGTGGGGGCTGGGCAGGCCTTGCTGAGGTGGTGCTGTGAGCAACTGAAGGCTCGAAGGAGCCAGCCTTACAGATACCTGGAGAGAAAAGAAAGTGCCAAGGCCCTGGGGCAGGGCTTTGGCTAAGGCGTGGGGAGCGGCAGATGGGACATGGGAGCACGTTGGCATCCACCCGAAGATGTGTGCTGGCGGGCAGAGGGCGCCTCTACCAGCATTTCTCTGAGGGCCGTGGCGGGGCTGCCGGAGAGGCGAAGGGCTTCCCAGTGAGCTGAGCGGGAGGCCCCCCCCCCAAGTGAGCTGAGCGGGAGGCCCCCCCCCCAAGTGAGCTGAGCGGGAAGCCCCAGCCTCTGCCCCAGCCGGGATCTGAGCTGTGCGTGCAGGGTTGCGGGGAGACAGAAAGGGACCCATAGAAGGCCCATGGGGCTGGGTTTGGGCAAGTGGAGGTCGAGTTGCCTGTGAAGCACCCCGAGGTGGGGGGCAGTGGGCAGAGGAACGTCAGGGTAGGTTGAGGCTGGAAATGCACCCTAGGGGGTCGCCAGCATGCAGGGGAGTTCTGCAGGCAGGAGGTGCTCACTGGGCAGTGAGGTCAGGATGGCGGGTGCCGGAGAGGTGCCAGGAGGAGGGGCAGGTGTGCGGGACAGAAGTTTGGCCAGAAGTCACCCCAAATGGGAGCTGGGTCTCCTCACATAGTCTCCTTTGGTGGATTCTGCACAGTTATGTTCTCGACGTGCCGTCTCCACGGGGCTCCCGCTGCTGGCCGGGCGTAGACGCCTTCTTGCAGAAGCCCATCTGCTGTTGGCAGATAATAAAGGGACTGGAGTGTTTGCTCTTTGCGAGTCTGAAGAAGGTAAATTCTAGTATGAGCCTGATGTTTTCAACAGTTACAGGGCTGTTACTTCTCTTGTTCTTCAGCCACTTGGGGAGGGGGTCTTTCTTTCCAGTATTTTCTTTTTTTTTAAAAGATCTTAAGTCATCTCCACACCCACCACGGGGCTCAAACCCAAAACCCTGAGGTCCAACCACATGCTCCGCCGACTGAGCTGGCCAGGCGCCCCTCTTTATTTCAGAAGGGTCTGGGGTGCCCTCCCGCTCCCTGACATCTTGCTGTGGCTCCTACCTTCTCAGCTCCTCGGGGCTGTCATCTTTCTGAACAAGAAGGTGAAGCTGGAAGCTCACCCGAAGCGCCCTGCGTGGAGTGCTGAGTGTGACTGAGGGGACTTCCGTGGTTTCTCTCCTTCGTGTCTTCCCTGCCATGGACTGACTTCCTGTCCGGCATGAGCACAGAGCCCGGGCGTCTGCCGCCCTTGCTCCTGCTCCTGACTCCCGACCCAGGGCCCCTGCTGCCCTCAGAGGGGTTTTATTTGGAAGTATTTCTTTAGGGCTCTGTGACCTGTTTTCCTCTGGGCAGGGGGGGTCTGTCTGCTCTTGGACGTGGCCCTGGGTCACGTGCTGGTCCCGTGTGGTGCACTTCTCTGCAGCTAGGAAATTGCTCGGGCTTTACCAATCTAAAAAATGTTTTATTAGATGAGGGTCACAGCAGTGACCCAAGTGTACAGTTCAGGGGCACTGAGCACTCCCACACCCCTAGTAACCGCATGCTTTTCATCATTAATCGGTCAGTAAAACCGTAAAAGGTTTCTCCTGGTTCACTTACTTCTACGGACGCTGATTCTGAGTTGGAGCAGCAGAGAGGCCTGGGAAGAACTGGATCTTGGTTGGTCTAGGACAGAGTCTGGTGTAGGGGCTGCACCCCTGTGTGAGTCCAGGACTGTGTGTGAAGGGTCAGCCCTTAGCAGAGGTGGGGGTCAAGCCCATGTGGGGTCCCACTGTGGCCAGGTGGGTGTTGGGGGCGGGGAGAGGAGACAGGACACTGCGTCTGTTCCTTCCCTGGCCCAGAGAGGTTTCTCATCTGTCAGCTAATATAAGTTGGAACCCAACTTCTTAATAAGCTTCTGTTGAAGCAACGAATGTCTCGGGTCTAGTCTGGGGCAGGGGGGTGGGGGACGGGCTGTCACTGGGGAAAAAGAATACTGCTTTACACTTGACCCCGTAACACCGTAATTCAGAAATTGAAAGGAAAATAGGTAACGTCACAAAAATTAGATTTTTTTTTTTTAATTAAAAAAATTTTGAGAGCGCGTGAGCAAGCCGGCGGAAGGGTGCAGAGGGAGAGAATCTCAAGCAAAATCCCCCCCTTCCCGAATGTGAAGCCCAATGTGGGGCTCAGTCTTGTGACCCTGAGATCATGACCTGAGCCGAAACCAAGAATCCTGATGCTTAACCGACTGAGCCACCCAGGCACCCTAAGAAACAGAGGTTTAAATTCTCCCGAAGAGGTAGACAGTCTGGATGACCCATCACCAAGGATGCAGGAGGTGCAGAGTGCACGCTTCCCCCACGGAATCACCTGTGTTCAGAACAGCACACCCGTGTTCAGAACAGCCCACCCATGTGGCATTCTTCAGCACAGACCACAGTGTAAGCCACACAACTAGTCATTGTGAATTTTAAAAGACCAAAACAATGAAGTATGTTCGTTAACTCCAGCAGAATTATTTCCCCGCGGCAGAATGAAGTCTGGACGCCCCCGCCTCCGGAAAGAACAACTCCCTGAACAGCATGTGGGTCAGGAGGAGTGAAAATTGAAAGTACACCAATGTTTGTGGGACACAGCAAAGCCCAGAGCCTCACACATCTGCAGGGAAAAGAAGAAAGGCCTCTATCTTAAAAACTAGAGAAAAGAGCAAACAAAACACAAAGAAGAAAAAGGAAAATCAGCAAAATAGAAAACAGAAAACCCAAAAGTTAGTTCTTTGAAAAGATCACGAAGTTGACAAACCCACAGTTAGACTGGCCAACAAAGAACACACATCACCAAAATCACGCGGGAGAGGGGACAGCGCTACCCCTCCCCTCACGGAACTAAGCGTCAGGACTCTCAGGGAATGTTAGGAAAACAACCCTGGCCAGTTCCTAGAAAGGCACAAATCACGTAAATGGACTCAGAAGGAAACAGTAAATCAGAATAGACTGTAGCAAGAAATCAAACTGATACGAGGTCTGAAGTCTTCATGCAGAGGAAGAGCCCAGCAGCTCCACCGAGCATTCTGTCCATGACACCACTCACTCACAAACTAGGAAAAAAACAGAGGGAGCTTCCCCACCCCTCCTGAGAGGCGAGTGTTGTCCCGACACCAAAGCCACACATGTCACGAAAGAAGACTAGAGATCAGTGTCCCTTGTGAACCGTGAGATGTCAAATTCGCAACAAAAGATCAGTAACCCAAGTACGGCAACATCATGCAGCATGACCAAATATTTATCACAGGAATGTCAGTCGGCTAGACATGCAACAATCAACAAACATCGTAGCCCGTCCTCATGGAGTAAAGGACAAAATCCACAGGATCAGCTCAATGGAAGCAGCAAAACACTGGACAAACCCAAACACACCCATAAGAAGTGTCCAATCACAAACAGAAGGCAGCTTCCTGGGCCTCAGGATAAAAGACACCCGCATGAAGGTCTCAACAGCAGAGCATCCGATGGCGACAGACCTGGTGCTCGAGGCAGTAAGTCAGACCCCAGCTGCTCCAGACTCAAAGTGCCTGCCGGGCTGCTTCCTCCTGGAGGCCCCGGAGAGCCTGCTTCCCCGCCCGGTCCTCCTGCCAGAGGTGCCCTCGTTCCTTGGCTCCTGATGTCCTTCCCATATATTCCAACACCAGCAGCTGTGGGTGGAAGCCTCCCATGGTCTCCCACCTGCCCCCGGAGCCCCCTCTTCCACTGTTACGGACCTCTGTAATGACACTGGGTCCACCTCGAAAATCCACGTTAGTCCCACTGTCTAGGCCAGCCGATTAGCAACCTCTACTCCCTTCTGCCGTGTGGCCGAACACGGTTGTGATTGTAGAGGTGAGGACAGCTATCCCTCTGAGAGCATTATTCTGTCACAGTGTCCGAATTCATGGTGACCGACTGAACACTCACCTCTAAAACCAGGAGTGAGGCGAGGCATGTCTGCACTTGCCCCTGTACTTGGCGTGGTACTGGACGTGCAGTAAGACCAAAGAAACCACAAAAAAACCACAATAGAATGCAAACTAGAAAGGAAGAAGGAAAAATGTCCTTATTCATAGACTAGATGACCCCATAAGGAGCTAATCCTAGGGATCCAGATATACATACGAACCCAGGACTGATAAGTTTGTTTAGCCAAGTCCAGGATACAAGATTAGTGAAAAAAAAATCCATTCCATTTCTACATGCTAATAACTGGAAATGGAATTAAGATGATTCCATTCACGGTAGCGCCAAACTAATCGAAAACAGTGCAAGATTTATAAAGAAGATCTAAGTAAACGGAAAGGTGCTCTGTATCCCTTGATTAAAAGATTTTTGTGATCCAGTGTGAGGCACACGGAAAGCATGAGCCAGAAAAGAAAAAAATAATAGAGTGGAAGTTAGTCAAAATAAACTTTTGCATTTTAAGAGACAGTATGTCTTTTTTTTTTTTCTCAAAGTAGGTTCTACAGCCAGCATGGAGCCCCACGCAGGGCTTGAACTCACGACCCGGAGATGGAGACCTGAGCTGAGATCAAGAGTCTGACGCTTAATTGACTGAGCCACCCAGGTGCCCCATTTTTTAAAATATGGATAACCCACAGACTGGGAAAAATATTTGCAAATATTATACCTGATGACCTATAATCCATAAAGTCTTGGAACTCAGAAAACTTAAGAGCGAGCAAGACTTAGATAGAGCTCGCACCCAGGACGACAGAGCTGAGCGCCCTGGGAAATGGTGCTGAGCGTTAGTTGTCAGACACAGACTCAGAATAGCCGGGCGTGTAAAACTGCACGCCCAGTGCTGGGCAGGATGTGCAACAACTGGAACGCTCGTACTTCCAAAGATTTTTAAAAAGTTAGACCTAAGGGGTGCCTGGCAGGCTCAGTCAGTGGAGTGTGCGGCTCTGGATCTTGGGGTCGTGAGTTTGAGCCCCACGTTGGGTGCAGAAATGACTTAAAATCTTTAAAAGTTACACCTAAATACCACGTGAGCCAGCAACTCCACTTGTAAGAATCTACCCAAGAAGCACGAAACATGTCCATACGGAGAGTCGTAGACAAATGCTGGCAACAACGTCCCAGCAGCCCCCGGATGGAACAATCCAGACGTCCGTCAGCTCAGCGGGTGAACGGATCCAGCGGCGGCCCATCCCTGCCATGGCCTGCTGTTCGGCCACAGCTCGGCTCAAAGGACTCCAGGCTGCTGTGTGGGTGAGCGCAGAAAGCCCGCCCGCTGGCCACGGGGAGACACACGAGCTCCCGAGGCTGGAGCGGGGGGCCGTGTACCTGGTCCCAGTAAGGCCATTTTAGGGGAGGACTGTCGGTGGCGGCGTCGCACTTGTCAACGCCCTTCAGAAGTTCTCAGCCTAGACAGACGGAAAATGGAACAGAGGAAGACAAGAGGGAACAGTATCAAAAAGTTAGAAGCCATCCAGGAAAAACTCAACAGCGTGCACAAGATCGTGACAGAGGCGTATGGAAATGCTGAGTGACACCAGGGAAGATCTGAGGAGGAGACTGTGCACCACGTGCGGGGGCGTGGGGTCCGTCCTGCACAAACTTCAGCACAACCCACACTCCCACAGGCTCTGGTTTCGGTTCAGACACAGGCGAGCTGCTCGCTTGGCCTAGGAGGGCTTGCACGGGGTCCCGCACACGTTCCCCCACCTCCAGGCTCACGGGCAGGGGACCCAACGTGTTCCCGGGGTGCTTCAAAAGCATTATGTTTAAGTCCACGTGCCATAGTGGCCATGAAACCACCAAGACTGAGAAGTCCAGCTCAACGCAGAATGTCTTGGGAAACCGCGTTAAAATGAACTCTTGCCAGAAATGACGAAGAGAGCGGAAAGGCATGCTCCGGGGCAGAAGGATACGCTGCCCACGTACGCCTGGTGAAGGACTTGCACCCCTCCCCCACCCGCCCACCGCCAGCTGATGAGCCTGAGGGGCCGTGGTCCCGCTGGTGTTGGGAGAAGACCAACGGAATGAAAGCCACCATCCACTCACCTTCGGGCCTTGGGAACAGACAGGGTGGCGGTGGGGTGTGCAGGACACTCCTCGGCCCCAGAACGTGGTGACCTGCTAACTACTCGGGAAGGCTCGACCTCACCTGCCGAGAAGACACGCACCTGGATCCCAATAAGTCCACCGAGGGCCCACAAGCTCGCGGCACTGTCCACGGGCAGTAGGTGGGTGAGTGCGTCCTAAGGCACGAGCGAGGATGTGGGGACAGCTGTGTGTACGAGCTGGCTGAATCGCACGTCACACAAGCAGCCAGACCCAGCGCTTGCGTGGGTCCCCACACACCTGACGCCAGACGCCTCGGGGAGACCCTCAGGGGTCCAACTCCCTGAGTGGTGGGGGCTGACTACGGGTGTTGCTGCAGCGAGCACCCGCCGCAGCGGCGAGGTCCCGTGGAGCGTTTCGGCCATGCAGGCCCAGCCGGGGTTTACAGAAAGAGCCCTGTCCCCTCCCGCTGCACACCCTCCCTTCCCAGCCGGGCCGAGAGCTTGGCGGAACGTGCTGAGTCGGCACTTTGTGCTCTGTAAACGCGTGTTTACCGTGTCAATTTCTGGGCGTGCACTTTCTCTGGCAGATCTATAATTTCTCAGAACAGAGGCTGAGAACCGACCTGGAAATCAATCAAAGCTCAATAAAGGGACAGATAAAGCCGCCCCCACCCCTGGCACCAGGAGCTGTGGGCCAGACAGGGGCGAAGCGGGGGTGGGGGGAACGGAGAGGGGCGCCGTAGCTGCCCCCAAGCCCTCCCTGCCGCGCTGCCTCCGCCTGGCCAGGAAGTACACTGCAGAGTCTCCCGAACCTCCACCAGCCCTGCCCCTTCTCTCAAGGGGAGCCCGGCCGTGCCCTCGTCCACTCGCCTCTGCCCTGCTGCTCGAATCACCTCTTCCTGGGGGCTGGCCACGCGCAGTGCAGCCCTCCAGCCCTGCCTCTACCGAGGACCCCTCCCCGGCTGTGGCAGCCGCGCCCAGGGTGGGTGGATGAGGGTGCGGCCGGGCTCCCTTTGCTCGAGCAGCCAGAGGCCATGCTGGCTGTCAACTTTCTTCCCCGCCTGACCTGGGGCTGACCTCAGGCCATGCACTGGGCGGTCATCCTGTGCAGAACGGGCTGGTCATGGCCCCCCAGGAGCTCTGGAGGACAGCTTGGGTCCCAGAGCAGGTGGAGGCTGGTTCTGTGGCCACAAGACCTGGCCCCCAAGGCCAGGCCTCCCTCCACTCTTTCTGGGAGGGCAGTGCTAGGGAAAGCAAACACGAGGGGGCCGGGGGCCCTGCCGGGTGTTTCTAGAAAAGATTGGGGGGAGGAGTGGTCAGACACCAGCTGACCCTGAGGTCCCAGAAACTGAGGCTGGGCGGGGCCCCGCGGAGTCCTAATGAGGACCCCACCCAGGTTGTTAGGAAATGGGCAGGGGGAAGGAGGGGGGTGGTCAGCGTGCCAGTCCCATCTCCCACTTAACTCCCACATGGCCGTCTGCTGAGCGGGAGGTCCCCCACAGCTGTCAGAGGGGCCCCCACCCAGGGGCTGGGGGCCAGCCAAACCTGAAGTTGGCTTTGAAGTGAACATGGCCCCCCAGCCTCTCCCCTGCGCCGTCTGCATCCTGGGCATTTGGGGCTGATGCTGGGCGCCGGGCACGAGAGGGTTAATGGAATCCGGGCCAGTGGGGCTGGGCTGGGCTGGCCAGCGACAGGGTGCTGGCTGCCCCAGCAGTGGGGGAATCAGAGGGCACGAGCAGCCGGCCCCAGCAGACGCACTCAGCTCGCGGCCCGCCTGTGGCCTTTCTGCACGCGGGATGGCCCTGATTAGAGGTGAGGTGCCCCCAGGGCCCCAGCCCCTCACTCTGGGGGCAGCTAACCCTGTGCCCCCCGAGCCCAGGGGCAGCCCTAGGGAGGGCTCAGCCTGGGGTGGGCCAACAGCCGAGTGTTGCTGCTGCCGCCGGCCAAGGGATGCGCCCTCAGGCTCCTCCACTCCCTCTGCCCACCTCCCCTCTGGTCCCAGGGCCCAGGCTGGGGCGCCGGGCAAGAACGCGAGTCTCCTCACACCCCACCTCGGAGACCCTTCCCTGGGCTGGGCTGCTTCTCTCGCAGCCCCTCACGGGCCAGGCCCCTGTCACCCCATCCCCCTTGGGGCCCAGCCCCGTCCGGGGGGGTGCATCCTCTAGTGCGGTTTCTGGCCTCACTCAGACACCCCGAGCCCTCGGGCAGGGACAGGCCCCAATTTGGTGGGCAGCCCCGGGCATGATGCAGGTTTTGGGGTGTTGGTGTGGGGCCCAGCGCCCTTTGTCCTGAAACACCCCTGACCCCTGGTGAGTTGAGGGTGTGTAGTCTCTGTCTGCCCTGAGGCAGGCGCCCTGCTCCTCTCCCTGCCCGAGAGCCGGGCTACGTTCCTGGACGTGGGACACACACGCCAGGGAGCACACGGGCGAGGGCCCCCCAGTCCGGGAGCCTAACTGGGGTGGTGTGCGCCCGCTCACTGGCCAGCCCTCAAGAGCAGGAAGCACATACCTACTCAGGCCTTCCCCAGGCCCACCTGGCGGCAGGGCCCCACTCAGTGTCCACGTTGGGGACGCAGACGGCCATACGGCCGAATGGCCAGGCGCCCCTACCCTCAGTTCTCTCCAGACCAGGCATCACGACCCTGGCGGGCCTGGCCTGCAGGGTGGAAAGGGCAGTCGGTTCTGAGACGGACAACGTCCCGGCTGTCCTGCCCGGCTCTGCTTCCGACTCTGGCGGGGAGAGAGCGCAGCTCTGAGCTCCCCCCTTCCTCCGGGCCCTCAGCGGCACCGCCTCTTCCGGTCACGTGCTGCGGCCCGGGGCGAGCCCCACGAGTTCCACGCTGGAGCGCATGTGCGGGCTGCGCCCTCGCCCTGGGGCTCACGCCCTCTGGCCCCTCTCCCTGCAGGAGGCCCGGCCCTGGCCGTGCTGCTAGTCTGCTGGGCAGCGCTGGGCCCCTGTGGCCCCGAGGGAGCGGAGCCCGGGGCTCCGGGGGCCGCCGAGAGCCTGCAGTGCCCGGCCATCTGCACCTGCGGCCACGACGACTACGTGGACGAGCTCAGCGTCTTCTGCAGCTCCCGGAACCTCACGCGGCTGCCCGACGCCATCCCGGACGGTGCCAGGGCCCTGTGGCTGGACGGCAACAATCTGTCCTCCGTCCCCGCGGCTGCCTTCCGCAATCTCTCCGGCCTCGCCTTCCTCAACCTGCAGGGCAGCGGGCTGGCCAGCCTGGAGCCGCAGGCACTGCTCGGCCTGCAGCAGCTCCGGCACCTGCACCTGGAGCGGAACCAGCTGCGCGGTCTAGCGGCCCGCACCTTCCTGCACACGCCGGGCCTGGCCTCCCTCGGCCTCAGCAACAACCTGCTCGGCCGGGTGGACGAGGGCCTCTTCCAGGGCCTGGCCGGCCTCTGGGACCTCAACCTCGGCTGGAACAGCCTGGCCGTGCTCCCCGACGCCGCCTTCCAAGGCCTGGCTAACCTGCGCGAGCTGGTGCTGGCGGGCAACAAGCTGGCCTACCTGCAGCCCCCGCTCTTCTGCGGCCTGGCCGAGCTCCGCGAGCTGGACCTGAGCAGGAACGCCCTGCGGAGCGTCAAGGCCAACGTGTTCGTCAAGCTGCCCAAGCTCCAGAAGCTCTACCTGGACCACAACCTCATCACTGCCGTGGCCCCCGGCGCCTTCCTGGGCATGAAGGCGCTGCGCTGGCTAGACCTGTCACACAACCGCGTGGGCGGCCTCCTGGAGGACACCTTCCCCGGCCTGCTGGGCCTGCACGTCCTGCGCCTCTCGCACAACGCCATCGCTGGCCTGCGGCCGCGCACCTTCAAAGACCTGCACTTCTTGGAGGAGCTGCAGCTCGGCCACAACCGCATCTGGCAGCTGCCCGACAAGGCCTTCGAGGGCCTGGGCCAGCTGGAGGTGCTCACGCTCAACGACAACCAGATCCGGGAGATGGAGGCAGGCGCCTTCCTCGGCCTCCTCAGCGTGGCCGTCATGAACCTCTCCGGGAACTGCCTGCGGACGCTCCCGCAGCAGGTGTTCCACGGCCTGGGCCGGCTGCACAGCCTGCACCTGGAGCGCAGCTGCCTGGGCCGCATCCGGCCGCACGCCTTCGCGGGCCTCTCGGGCCTGCGCCGCCTCTTCCTCAAGGACAACGGCATCGTGGCCGTGGAGGAGGAGGGCCTGGGGGGGCTGGCGGAGCTGCTGGAGCTGGACCTCACAGCCAACCAGCTCACGCACCTGCCCGGCCAGGTCTTCCAGGGCCTCGGCAAGCTGGAGTACCTGCTCCTCTCCGGCAACCGGCTGGCGGCGCTGTCAGCGGACTCCCTGCGGCCCCTGCGGCGCGTCTTCTGGCTGGACGTCTCGCACAACCGCCTGGAGGCCCTGCCTGAGGCCGACCTGCCCCAACTGCGCTACCTGAGCCTCAGGAACAACTCCCTGCGGACCTTCACGCCACAGGCCCCTGGCCTGGAGCGCCTGTGGCTCGAGGGCAACCCCTGGCACTGTGGCTGCCCCCTGCGGGCCCTGAGGTCACTGGCCCTGCAGCAGCCCAGCGTTGTCCCGCGCTTCATGCAGGCCGCGCTGGAGGGGGACGACGGCCAGCCACCCGTGTACGCCTATAACAACATCACCTGCGCCAGCCCCCCGGGCGTCTCGGGCCTCGACCTGCGTGACGTCGCCGAGGCTCACTTCGCTCACTGCTGACCAAGGCGCGCCTGGCCCGATGCTGCCCCGGGGTCACAATGGCGTCCCCCTCAGGGCGGGGGGGACACGGTACAGCCACGGGGTCCTGCTGGCGTGGGCACCGCCACCACACAGGCCCCGGCCCCCCAGCCGTCCCTCATTAAAAGCCATCTGACACACGCGTGTGACCACAGCAGTGTAGCTTTGGCGGGGGAGGAAAGCTGGGCCCAGGCCCTCAGCCCACGTCCCTCCCGGGATGCCCACCTGCATGTGAGGGGGAGCAGCACCCCCTGCCGTTGTCCAGAGCCCCAGCACCTCAGCTGTCCTCTCTGGCAGCGTCCTCGGAGGCCCTGGTCCTGGGAAGCTGGGCAGAGCCGGGGCGGCCACTGCTCGGGGCCAGTGTGGATGTGGGTTCTCACTCCCCGGCCCCCCCCCCCCAGCAGCCCTGCCCCTGCCCTCTTGTTCCATGCCAGGAAGTGTCTGTCCACGGCACACTTGGACCCGTCACCCCTGCCCTGGGGGCCACCCTGTCTCCTCTGCCGACACCCCAACCTCTTCCCTTGGGAAGAGCGCCGTGCAGTGCCCTGTCTCACTTTCCCTCTTGGCCTCCCTGGGGTTCCTGCACCTCACTCCCAGCTCTGCCTAGGCTCCGCGGCGTGGAGGGTGTGGAGGGCGATCGGGGACGGGCAATGACCTGCGCCGGGCTGAGCCTCCCCCAAGAGCACGCGTTTCTCCACCATCACCAAGCCCTCCACACTCTGTCCCCAAACTTGACCCAGACATCTGCAGGGGCCTGCGGGCTGGGCATCAGGGGGCAAGGCTGGCTGTCATGGAGCGCACCAGCATGCTAAGGCGCAGGCGGGACCAGGGCGCCACACTCTGAAAGCATCAGACCTGTAGCTGCGGCAGGGGAACATTTAATTGTGGGTTCCTCTGAAGTTAACAAGTCTGACACTTCACAAGATGCTCCCCGCTGTCACCAGCATCACTCAGGGTGGCCCTGAGGACGGCGGACGCCCCAGGGATTTTACAGACGCGCAGGCTTCGTGCCCCGCGTGGAGCCTGGGCTGCCAGCCACAGCCCGGCCGTGGGTCGGGGGCATGTGAGCACCGTGACAGGAAGAGCGGACGTGCTGTCACCTGAGAGTTCAGCTGCCAGGACCCCACACCTTCCCCTGGGACCTGCCACCGGTCCACCGGGCAGAACCACCCACTGTCGGCGTGGCTCCGGGGGCAGGGTGACGCCCGCACGGCCACAGCCTCTGCTTAGGCCTGTGTGCACGGTGCCGGGAGACGTGAGAGGGGGGCCGCCTTGGTTAGGAGAGCCGAGCAGGCGCCTCGCTCATAACCTTCTGGGCTATGGAGGAGAGTGCGGGGAAGGCAGGACTCTTAGGGAAGTCCCTGATGAAGTCTTGACCTTCCTCCAGGCTCCTCGTGAGCTCAGGGTCCAGAGGCACAGAGCCTGTGAAGGGAGACAGCAGGGGAGGGGCCGTGAGGGCGGCGGAGGGCAAGGGGCCAGCTTCCCAGCCCCACCCCGCACGAGGCTCCCAGGCCAGCCTCTGGCTCCCGTGGGCGCCCACTCAAGCCCGGCTGCCTGCTGCCATCTCTCATGCCCACTGGGCGCGGGGAGCTCAGAGCCCCAGAGCAGAGGCCGAGCGGCGGCCCTGCTGCGCTCACCCAGGAAGGGGACTCCGGCGAGTCTGGCCAGCGCCTCCCCGCCTCCCCGGGAGAAGACGTTGGTGCATTCCTAGAACACAGATGTGCGACCCCCTTAAGGAACCTCTCACACACTCGAGGGGCAGGTCCAAGGGTGTCGTCACCTCCCACAGCATGCCTGACCCTCTGCCCCGCGCCCCACAAGGGCTGGTGACCGCCCGCCAAGTCCCCAGGACTCACTGCGCAGTGTGGGCAGACGAAACCACTCATGTTCTCCACGACCCCGACCACCTGCAGCCCTGTCTTCCTACAGAAGGTCAGCTCCCGCCTCACGTCCCCCACGGACACTGCCTGAGACCAGGGAATAGGGGACAGTGGGTCAGTGGGTAACTTTAAAGCGCACCACCGAGGGAGTAAAGGGCCAGGAGCAGCGCCAGGTCCCAGGTGAGGTCGAGGACAGCGGGCAGCGTAAAGGTGCTCCTGCAGTACCTGGGGCGTGGTGACCACGAGGGCCCCCAGCGGGCTGTAGGGGCGCAGCGCCTCCACGGCGGCCATGTGCTCGTCAGAGGTCCCTGGTGGGGTGTCCACAACCAGATAGTCCAGCTGTCCCCAGGCCACGTCAGCCACGAACTGCTTTATCAGCGCTGCAAGGACCCAGGGGGCTCACTGGGGGCTCACTGGGGTCTCACCGAGCCCCTCGCCTCCGGCACAGAGGGGCCTCTGCCCGTCCCGGGCCCGCCCAACAGCAGCAGAGCAAGCCATTCCTCACGGAGGGTGGGGCGCGCACAGCGCGGGCCCCACAAGCACCCCTCTCTTCCCGGCTGTGGGGCCACCCTTGCCCCTCCGAGACTTCTGCTCAGGCCTGAGCCAGGAGCTGTGACCCTCCTGCGGTGTCCGTGCTCGGACTCAGGCTCACCTCCAGCTTCGGCACAGGAGAGCCAGTGACCTGCAGCGTCAGGCCGCATCAGCACGTCCCGCACGCAGCCCCTGCGCTGAGCCTGCCGCCTGCCCCTCCCACCGCCAATTACAGGGCTTGGTGGGGCCTGAGGGTGCGGAGGGCCCAGTGCCCAGGCTCGGCACCCCACCCCCATGCCGGGTGGCCTCAGGTCTGAGCAGAACCCTTCCCGCTCAGGGACACGGATGGGGTTCCTCCTGCTCTCAACTCCCACGCGGGCCTGACCACTCAGATGAGCAGCAGGACTGTTTGGAAATAGCTGGCTGTTGGGGTCTCCGGCTTTACCCAAGAACCCTGGGGAGGAGGGCCCGCAGCTCCCATGGGACTTTCTAACTGACTTTTTATTGAGCACCGCGGCGGCAGCTGGGAGGCGCGAGAGGGCTGACCGTGCCGTCCCCCACCCATCGTTACCGTTCTTCTTAGGGCCCCTCCACACCACAGCCTCATCCGGGCTCTCCAGCAGGAAGCCCACGGACATGAGGGAGATGCTCTGCTCCTGGTCCACAAAGACGGGGACCCAGCCACTGTCACACTGGTGCACGGCCCTGCCCTGTGCCCGAAGCATGCGGGGGATGCTGGGGCCACACAGGTCCACGTCGAGGATCCCCACCTGCAAGGAGGCAGGACGTCCACGAGGGGGAGGGGTAGGAGCAGAGGGTCGGTCCATGCAGGGGCAAGGCTGGGGGTGCTCACCTTCTTGCCTGCATGGCGCAGGGCCAAGGCCAGCTCCGTGGAGATGGTGCTTTTCCCGACCCCCCCCTTTCCTGAGAGGACAAGGATGATGTGCCGGACACCTGCCAGGTTTCCAGGCTCTGGTCAGAAGAAGAGGGCAGGAGGGCAGAAAATCCCCTTCGCACCAGATGCTTTTGGAGGCTCAGTCAGAAGGATCACAAGCACCTCCCACGTCCCAAATTCTGAGACCTGCCCCTTTGCCCTGATGGAAGCCAACACCCCCAGTTGGGAGGTCTTCTGGAGGGCCGGCCCCAGACCAGACCCGTGGCTTCCCTGAAGGCGCTATCTCAAATCGCCCCTCTCTGCTGAGAGCACATGTGTGACTGCGCAGCTGTGAGCTCACACACACACCCAGGCGATATGAACTGAGAGGGGCTGCAGGCTCCCAGCTGATTCCAGGGGGAAACAGAGCCGTCATGACAGGCATGAGGTGCATCTGTGCTGGGGCGGCCCCCACCCCCACTCCTAGGATCCAGATCTGATCCCTAGGTGCTCAACTGCTCTCCTGGGGTCAGAGCACTCAAGGCAGCCCTGGCTTCCAGTTCTCAGGAGGAACGCTTACAGCTCTAGGAAAGCATGGGCGCATACCCACCTCTCTGGCTCAGACCAGCCTTGAACCGCAAGCACACAAGGGCGGCCATGGGATGGTCGTTCAGCCCCGGGCCCAACAACCGTGGCTCTCTGTTGGCCAGGGGCCATTCTGCCCCAACTCTTCCTTCCAACGAGCCTAACATGTCACTGAAGAACTACCATCCCAACTCCTGCCCCTCCCAGGGGTTGCCATCTGCACCCACACAACCCTCAGTCCCTCTGCAAGACCCTAACGTTGCCTCAGTACCCTCCGACCTCACCGTCTGCACTCCTGCCCAACCTCCAACAAGCTACTCTCCCCACCACCCTCCCCGCAATCCCGGGTCCTTGGGGGGCTCCACAAAGGACACCCTGGCCCTCCTCCAGACTCTCCTCTCAGAGAGAGGTGCAAAGGCCCCCGCCTCCAACGCCTCGCGGGGAGGAGCTGAGAGGGGCCCCGGGCCTGGCTCCCGACAGGTCCTGGTCACCGAGGCCGGCAGCCAGCCCCGGGGCAGCACGCCACACCTACTTGCACCCGCTCTCACCATGCTGGAACGCCACTTCCACGAAGAATCAACAATACGTGGCGCTCTGGCTCCCCTTCCTGGGACCCCCGCTCCAACCACAGCTCTGCCGCCACCAGGCCACCGAACCAAGGCCGCCGGGCGCAGCAAGACGCGGCTGGCCCCCTCCAAATACCCTGCGTGCGCCCTATGGGCGCCCACGAGAGCTCCCCTGAACACCGGGGGCTGCGACCAGCAGCGGCGGACCAGCCCCTCCCGCTCCCGCCGGCCTCGCGCACTCACCGGCCGCCGCCTCCATCCCGCCCGCGGCGCCGCACAGCCTCCGTCGTCTGCCCCCAACCTCTCGCCCCGCGCAGCGCCCTCCCCCTAGCCGTTCTGATAGGCCCACCGGCGCTCCACTCAGCCAATCACATCCCACGTAAGTGCACGCACTTCCGGTGCCGACGATGAACCGGAAAGGACTCACTTCCGTGTCAGTCCCTGCCTCGCCCCGCGTCCAATGGGCACACGGGCGCTCTCTCCGACGGTTTGAGAGCTGACCAATGGGAAATGTGGAGTCAGGATTGACAGGTCCGGCAACCTTTCGGTAGTAGGCATGTGCCGCGCGGCCCGCCCCCTGCCCGCTCCCGAGCAGCCAGCACCCGGCAG